TATCTGTCGTTGAAAAAATTGATCCTTAGGGTTAGAAAATTGCTGTGACTGAGTAAAGACCCAGTCACAGGTGTGACTGCCAGGTAAAGGGCCTAAGGTTTGATTACTGGGTCGGGCAAGGTATAGTTGGTGTATTTTTGTGTAATAACACGATCCAGTGTTTAGGATTGCGCCCAATAAGTATACGGAAATAGGTAAAACTCCATATTGTATGGAACTAATTACATACTGGTGACTACAATATTCCTTAAACCAAAATTATATAACCAATTTTAGCGGGGAAGTAGATAAGTTTAAGTGTGGGAGAGACATGCTTCGGCACGAATGGGCCGGCTCGACCGGAGTGGTACCACGGCCTCATAGAAAACCGACGTGAAGCAACGCTTGCGTTGTGTTTCGTCGTGTGAGTGAGGTTACCGGAGACCCAATTACCCTCCCCTTCCCCAATCTCCACAATCCCTGAATCCCCAACGATCCTCAAGCTCCTAATCCCCAGGAAGCCGGTAACGTACTTGTAACGCCTCTGTTGTTCCAGTTGCTGTTGTTCCTGTTGTTCCATGGGCGACGCCGATTACTTACCATCAGGTGTTCCGTCTGCTCGTTTACCGGCTTATGCCATAAAACAATAATATGGTATTAGTGCAGTAGATATGTCTAACTGCATCCAGAATATTATGAACTGTTGTAGATGTAGTTCCTCTAATAGCTGTCGTAGTATTCGTAGTGCAAGGAGACTACGGCGTAGCGGATTCGGTAGCCGCTACGTCGTAGCATTAATCGTAGCTCGCACAAGGACAAGACCGATATAACTCAACTTTATGTTTTCAGCTAGGAAATGGTATAGAAGGTTGAACTAGATATTTAAGTGCTTTATTTAGATCCTAGACCGAGCTATAATATAATATATTTGAAATATCCTTACTTATACAGTGAAACTTGGTTAAGTGGGACCTGGATAAGTGAGAAACCTTCATAACTGGAACTCATGCTGAGGTCCCAACACTTGGCACTGAATTACCTCTGTTAGTGGGACGAGGTAAACCTTTATATCTGGGATTTGTTCCTTCGATTTATCGTCATAGTTACCTCTATAACTGAGACAGCGAGTAAATTTTATATGCATAAACCTCTGTAACTGAGATAACATTGTTTGTTTACTGATTCTTATTCTACCCACAAATTCCACACGTAATTCCAAGTCCACCTATATTAATGGAACCCTCTGTAAATGAGACAGATATTTATTTATACCTGTATATCTGAGACACTGGGTAAGTGGAATACCTCTATAAGTGAAACGACATTGCAGGTCCCTTGATGTCTCACTTAACCAGGTTTCACTGTATTATAAATCGGAAAGTGAGTTTGTTTGTTTGTTCCACTTTAACGCCGTAACTACTTAACCGATTGCTTTGAAATTTTGCAGACGTAAAGTTAAAAATCCGGATTAAATAATAGGGTACTTTTTATCCCTGAAAAATTTGATATTCCCGAGGGAAAACAAAAATATTGGTATAGATGGCGCTGTGTGTATTGGTTATATGTCACATTGGCTTTTTATCCTTTTGTGACGCGAGCAAAGCTGCGGGTAAAAGCTAGTCGGAAATAAATTAAATATCTCTTTTTCGCCAAAGTATTCATTACCATTGGTACAATTTACTTAAATTAATGATAGTGATTCTTAATATGCATTATTGTTTATAATTACATGAATGCCTCGTTTGCCGAGCGGTCGCAAGTGCTACTGCCGGGCAATGGGACTCAGGTTCGATTCCTGAGTTTGGGAAACCATTACTGGTTTTGTTTTTAAATTTCAGTAGTAGCACGGAGTTTGGAATTGTGCCAATATTATGGCAATAGGCTCACCCCCTATTACATGGAACTCATATCATAAATGGTAAAATGTGTGGGATACCTACATTGTACAGTGGCATTAACTACCGTAATGTGCACCTCTGCATACACATCTACACCTTTGGGTATAAAAGGCGTGATGTTATGTGTTTATCATTATTTGTTTTTTTACAACATTAAAAGTTATGTACTAAAGAAGGAATAGTTACTAAAATAAATTCGATGTCAACTAACTGGAAAAGGTGGTAAATACAAAACACGGTCGAAGAAAGAACACATTTATTAATCTCTCGGTATATATAGCAATATATCTCTTAACTACAACTACCACTCACGTATATACAAACATATAAATAGTACATTCACTTACATAAAACTATTTACAAGTAAGAATTCTCTCCATCGATACACTATATCTAAATACGGAATGTTCAAAACTAAATGCATTACAGACAAATTTCCCTTGAAAAATTTTACATGTATCACTAAACATATAAGTTATGTGATACTTATAATTTACACAACATATGTTGTAATATTGAGATTGCTTGAAACTTTGGCCAAAAAGTTGTGCAATTCGTTTTTTCGTAAAATTCAACAGAAAAAATATAAATTAACTAAAAATCGCGGGTTACTCACGTGAATATAGGTACTGAGAAAAGCTCTACTAGTTTAATTTAGTATGTTTCACGATAGTTATTATAAAAACATAGAAAATGTGTACTAGAACTTTACATACTGAAATGAGATGTTTATTTGTTTATCGGCTCACACTAACTAATTTCATTAGCGGCGGATTTTCCAATGATCAGATTATTCTTAACTATAGAACAAAATTGATATTTGACAGTTTTCAGTATGGAAGAATTGTCAAATATTCAAAGTTGTTCCTCAGTTAAAATTTATCTTATCAAAAATCAGCGTACATTATAAGGCTTACAATAAAAATTAACTAAAATAAATTTACTTAATCATACGTTTATTTACAATTATTTTATAATCATGGCTATTGTAATTCATTTTGAGATTCTCGAGCAAAACCATTTTTGATTGTTTTATTTAATTATTTGGTAAAAACACTACGTCTGAATAAATCAATGGCAGATAAAAATCATTATTCAATGTAAATAATATTCAACAGAGTTTGAATTCTACTCGATACATAATAAGATACAAAGCTAAAACTTATGCTGTTATGTGTACTGATTATTATTAATTGTGTGTTTTTTACCAAGTAGGACAAACAATAAGACACGGAAGGTACGGTAAGGCTTATTCACGTAACGATTTGATTATCTTTAGCCGGGTAGGCTATTCTCGTAACTATGAGCCCCTAGTGTGACTCAAAACTAATCGAGTTACTCTGTCAAACAGTCACATGAATAAAGCTCTGGAGGTGTCTACCTCTAGAGCTGACAGCGGACGGACCGCATTTCAACTGCAATCCAACGACAAATTCCAGTTCAGATGCATTTTGAATGCAGCAGACTGCAATTGAACTGCAAATTAAACTTGCAGTCCAGTTACAGACCAAACGTGCAGTCCGATTGCAGTTCTCTATTGCAGTCGTGAAAAAACAGTTGCAAACTAAACGTGCGGACCGATTTCAGTTCTATTACAGTCATAATTAAACGGTTCCAAACCAAACGTGCAGACTGATTTCAGTTCTATTTTGCAGTCGTGACCATATGGTTGCAAACGAAACGTGCAAATCGATTGCAATTCTATTGCAGTCGTGACAAAACATTTGCAAACCAAACGTGCAAACCCATTTGCAGTTATATTGTAGTCGTGTAAACTGCATTCTAACTGCAATTTGCGGTTGAATTACAATCGAAATGTGGTCCGGTTGTCAAGAGCTTAAGCTAATAAACACAATTTATTCGCTTGAAACTTTTCTCTAAAGTAGTTAGTATACACTATAAGTACAATATTTACAACTTTGTCTACCAAATATGTTCTGAGAAATAAGTTATTTCTAAGTTGGATTAATATTGTGGCGCTTGATTTATTTTTATGTAATTGAAGTGACAGAAATACTTTTAAGAAATAATTCTAATTAATAAAGTCGTGTTTTAGTAGATATTTGTCAATAAAGCATTGAAAACCATTAATAATATCTTTCATAGGCGTATTTACTGCATTTAGGCTACCATGGCAAAATAAATATAGAGACTTGAAATTTTGAAATCAACAACATTGAAGAAGGAGTAAAATCTTTCAAATGCAGCAAGTCTTTAAGGTCAACGAGACGAGATGAATTTATTGAGCAAACAAACATACATGACTAAGTACCATTTATCAATACTTATGTATAATTACACTACATAAGCCTTACTCACTAATATTTACAAATAAGTATTGCTTTGATACACAAATCACAATAGAAATTAACAGATTGAATGTGTATTGTTTAATTATAAGCTTTAAGTCTAAAAGAGCAAAGAATATTTTTGTAAAGTAATACATTGAATAGAAAAAACTGCGAAAACTCAACCTTAATTTGTTACCAACACAGTTTAGTTTTGATTATAGTCGTTAGTATTTTAAAGTTCCTTTTGTATCTAGCTCGTAACTATACATTAATCAATCTGCTAAACATTGCTTTAAAGGAACAATTGAAGTCATGAAGAATTTGTGCTTAAACAAAATTAAATTCAGAAGTATGACGCTTAAAATTGTTTCATTGACTATAACATCCAGCAGTAAAGTAATTTTCCAACAAAAACATTATGATCGCTTAAAACCCTATGCTCTTAGAGATCCTTACATTCATAAATGTTCATCTTAAAACTAGTTACAGTACCGGTCGATAAATACTGCACATCGACTGCTGGAAAGATGTAATTTTGTGTGATAATGATCGTTTAGGCGTACTGTCCACGGTACGTCATTTGATCAATGCATGCAATCGTCAAAAACGATAGGCGGCGTAATATTACTGTTTCGTGGACAGTTCTCGTTGTTTCCAAGCAAGATGCAAGCATTTGTCATTTGTAGGCCGCCTGTTGTTTGTGAAGGATGCGTGCATTCATCAAATGACGCCACGTGGACAGTTACCCTTTTTTCTGTACAAATCTTTTTCTTTTTTAATCTTTTATGAGTCAAGGAGAGTGCTTGCTTATCATTAACAGTATATGGAGAGACTTAGTTGATTGTCTCTTATCAAAGGTTGGTGTGCAATATTCATCGCCGGGTATTGTAAATCTTAAACCACTGACTGTATTTAATCTTACTATAACATTATTTACTTTGTATAATATTAGACCATCTGTAGTCCTTTATTGAGGCTCTCTACGTGTTCCTTCGCTTTCATGCGAAGTGCTGCGATGGAAGATGACCGCGGGTCCGGGGGGGCGCCACTTGTCGCTGGCGCTGGTGGCGTGAGGTAGCTTGGGTAGCCAGACGGGGGATGGCTCAGGAAACCTGAGGAACATTGGTGCTTTATTTAGTACGCTATAACCGCCCATGGTATAGTTGATTAGGCAATTATTTGGTTTAATGTGGCAATCAACTTAATATTTTTTTTAAACCAACATTTATTCAGATATGTAGCGAAAGAGTAATTCTTTGTAAGAAAAAGTACCTATATTTTTTATCTAAAATACATATATGTGAAATATGTCTCTCCATACCTGGTAATGCAGTGAGCAGTGGAGGTGCCAGCCAGGGATCTACGGGCAGCCCCAGCCCTCCGAGCCGAGGTATGCCACCGCCCGCCCCGCAGCCGTACTCCGACAGACCAAGCCGAGCCGCCTCCATCTTTTCCTGGCGACGCCATTTCGCACGACGATTTTGGAACCATACCTGCAAAGAAGAAACGAAAATTCAATAAGTACTTTAAAGACACTTTTATAATCATAAATGCTTCCCCAAGTTCATCGTAATTTAAACAGTGTTAAAGCAGTTATCGTGAAAATGATGGTCTGTAACGAAATTTGTTTATCGGTATTAACGTGCCACCTATTAGAGCATCAAAGTTTACGAGGCACGGCAATAAAACCCCTAAAAGGTTTGCGCTTAGACAATAAATCAGAGAGTGAACACGTCACTTATAAACAGTTTGTGGAGGCAGACATAACAAAACTAACTTTGAATACGGCAAAGCATGAAACACGAACTCAATCACATAAATGGTGTACCATCATTGTGCCATCCACCCTAGAGGTTCCGTCGCGGCGTCGCAGTATAAATTCTATGTTAATAAAAATAAAGTTTACTTTAGATTATTCATGGCCAAGATGTATGGCATGAATGTGGTGTCAAATTGTAGTGTGAAATGATATATTCAGCTGGGGTCGGTTGAACGGTAAAAATACGCACGGTTCGCGTGACCGTTTCGATTTCAGTGCAGGAGACAGCAGGTTAGGGGCATGCAATGTTTGATAGCTTACCTGTCACAAGTATTAAATTTGTTCAACAGTGAAATATCAGAAATCGTTACGTTGTCGTCTGTTGTCAACTCTACTACTTCGTAGACAGAAATGTCATTTAGTAGCGAACTCATAAACTTGTACTCGTGTAAATAGAGCATTACTCATGTAGCATATTTGTGACAGCTGAATTTCGACTTTTGAGTGGATTTGACGTAAGTATTTGACTCAGAACTTCATATAAGTACTTACCCGTAAACTCACGTAACATACAGTTAATACGAATTAAGTTCTTAATTTAAATTTTTCTGATACATAGCGATAATCCAGACAAAAATCGCGGGTTACTCACGACTATACACGAATATACTAAGAAAAGTTCTACTAGTTTCGAACCACAGAAGGGTTTCTCCTCATGAGCAGCGTGCGCGGTCGCTGCGATGTCGCGCAGCCTACTGTGTAGTTAATTTAGTATATCGCACGATAGTTATAATGATAATCCAGACGTTGTGAAACAAGGTCTTAATCGCATAACCTTGGCATAGACAGCTAAAAATCTTTGTCTAGTCTTATTCATGGTAGGACAACTGAAGTAAAGAGAACTATCTTAAGACGGTTTTCTCCACGGAAGCGCTGCGCCTTAACTAAAGCAGTTGTTGTAAGGTATGTAGTTACGTGAGTCGGCATCGGAGTGTCACTACCGTTGATTGCGCAATTTATTTACTGGTTCACTCACTTACTTCCTGATAGGGTTGCCAACGTTCATGTTACTTTATAGATTGACTACATATTTAATTTAGTATTTAAATAGACATTCAAATAGGTTCGAATCAAAACGGTTCGTTTCTTACTTCAGCTATCATAAACCGATCGTATCAGTTTTAGAGATTGGCGATGATGGTGATAATAACAATGATAGTGAAAAAGTCGTGGGAGTTATGGACTGAGGGATAAACGTTTTAATGTAATATAAATTGTCATGTTTGTGTACGATAGCGCAATAAAGAAATATTATATAGTACCAAATAAAAGATAGTACTTTTATTGTGATAATTAAAGCAATTCGTGCAAAATGATTCCATAACCATTCCAAAATATCCAAAACGCACAACGTTAGTACTTGAATTTTCGTTTCTACCGGCACACCCGGTGCAATGTACCCGTCGTTTATTTTTAATAATGATGTAATTTTTCTGTACACTTTGACGAGTGTCTTATAGAAATGTGTAGTGTTAGACCTCACTAATAAACATAAAAATATCAAAATGTAATCTAATTCCAACCCTACAGCAATTAAAATAAACAACCAATTAGCATAACGAGGCGCCCACGAACTTAGACATAAGACATATTCAAAGAAGTTATTCGATTAAGAACGCGTGTGTGCCCTTACCGAGGTATGAAGTATGGTGTCGGGCGGTGCCACGGTCGCCGGTACCGATGTACGATACAAATACTCGACGACGTTTTATTATAATATTGATTCTAATAGACACTGAACAATACGTAAGGTATCTTTGCAACATTTATTTTAATAAAACGATCGGCTGCCTCGTTATCTAGTGCGACTGGCGGGCAAGAGGTCTCTGGTTTGATTCCCGGGTCGGGCAAAGTATTACTGAGTTTTAAAAAAATTCTCAATCGTAGCACGGAGTCTGGAATTGTACCCGGTATATAGCAATAGGCTCACTCCCTATTACATGGGACTCATAACATAAAATGGTGAAAAGTGGATGTTACATGGTACAGAGCCATTGCCGTAAAGTGCCGTAATGTGCCTTGCACTTCTGTTATGTATAACGATCGGTTTGTGTTTTTGAAATCCGGAGTGCTAAATCGATTTTTGCAGACCAATGATTTAAGATAGACCAATCAGTCAGTGTATACGGTCGAATTCTATGACGCCTTACTGAAGGTAATTTTTTAAATCTTCTTTTTATTTAGTATTTTGGTTTTAATAGTTGTTATACCTATTTGTTCATAATTATATTCTTTAAGTTTATTATAAAAGATGACTCACAAGACACAAATGTACACTATTAATCTTGAGAAAATGTTAAAACATTCTACATCCTATTTATTACCCAAAACTCTTATTCATATTAGAAGACCGTGTTAAGGACATTTGAAAATGAATAAATCAGTTACCTACCGCTTCGCCTGTCTTAGAATCATTGTGGTGTACCTCTCCATACTTAGGTACCTACTTAGATTCGTAGGCTGCCTCGTTATTCTGCTAACGAGACAGTTTAGTATAATACCTACTACGTACCTTCGCCCTAAATCCTTAGCCTACATTCTGCTATTTTTGGCAACTCTAACAAGCGCCTGTAGCAATAAAGTACACGTTCAGATATAAAACCTCATTAATCCGAGTTGTAAAACCAGAATGGGCATTGTTACGTTAATTAACAGAAACGAAAACTACATTAGAAATCATAAAACGTCTAATTCTTAGTTAGTGAGTGTTCGTTAAGCACGCGACGTTTTGTCCCCGCGCGGCTGATATCGCCCACTGTGCATCGCAGTAAAAATTACACAAACAGCCGTCAACTTGTTCTACTCGCTGTTTGTTTCATGTTACTTACACTTTACACTGCGAAATTGAATTAAGACTTGCTTTGTATTCTACTGCTCGACAACGAAATTGCCCATTTACTGCGAACATTGTTTGGTTAGTCAATCAATTTCGAATATTACTTAAGTTCGCTCCAACTTTGTACCAATACAAGTTTGGGAATTAATTAAGTCGAACGTTTTGTGTTTGTGTTCCAGTCATCTTCACTGACATGTCTGATATCGACTGCGGTCTAATAGAAGCAACCCGAGTCGAATATTGTTTTATTTATTTGCAAATCGTTCGTCGCCCCTATAAAACGAACGCCAAAACATGTTCATTGTGCTCTATTCTTGTCACTGTCAAATAATCAACAAGAAAATCAACGCGTATTCGTGGGCCCGTTGTTTTACTTAGTTGCGACAGATTCAATCAGTCGCACAACAAAACAAAACAGCGGAGAGGACGGCCGCGCCAACTGTCGCGTTTCAAAAAACGAACATCACAACACTAACAATGCGGTTCAAATATGACAGATGTCAGATTTGCGCGTTCGGGCGGCGAGCGCGCGCCGCGATTGGTCGGAAACACTGCGTTTAAATATTATTCGATTGTGTCGAGAGCCGATCCCGCTGTTTGTTACATTGGATTGCTCGTAATTACATTATTCTGCGCTTGTATGACGTCTTTTGACTTTAATCGAGTGACTTTTTGACTTTGCGTACGATTATTTTCGTAATTGAAATAACGTTCTGTTTTATTACGTCTGGCGTGTCTATTTATTCTCTTCGTTACAGCTAAAGCAACTAACTGGTCTTCATAAAACTTAATTGGCTCATACTTTTTATAAACATGGTTTCATGACCTATGTGTGACCACTTACGTCGCTTCACAGGTGAACAAATTTAATTTTTATTACGACTTTGTTATCGCAGGCGGCGGCTGGCGGTGTACGGAGCGGGAGTGAGAGGGGGTGGTTGGGACGAATTAACGTGTTATTGGGGTGAAATTAAAGCGGTTAAACAGTTCGTGCTCGGAATTGTTCAGCTAATTGGTCCCGCGACACACGCGCGCCGTCGCAAATAATCTAGTACCGAGTGCCAGTGTGTCTTAGTAAGTAATACTGTGTAATTAGGCCGTTTAGTGTATTTACAACCGACAATAAATATGCTGTCTACAATTTAAAACAAAAATCCTAGAAGTATTTCCAAAGTCTTGAAAAACTCAAAAAATATGAGTGTTAGAACCGTTTCCATAGTCCAAAATTAGACCTAGACATTTAAGCGAATGAAGGTTACTTCAGTTATCGCCATCAAACTGGTAACAGTTTGGCGATTTTTGTATATTTAATAATAATGTGTATATTTATGAGAATAAATAAATAAATAAAAAAAAAGTTAAAAGTAAAATTGTAAACATTTAAATAATAAATTCAAAACGAGGTTATAACGTCTCCATATGAGTTTTTTATTCTTCGCGAGACGCGTGCGAGGCAATACCTCACCCAAATTATGTTTGAGAGGCACACACTGGAATAAGAACTGAACACGACACTAGCGCTAGGATTATGAGATGTTTTCATCCACACACAAATTTAAATGAATTTTTGGAGAAAACTTAAGTGTTATAGAAGTCTGTGATATGAGAAATGTATAAAGATGAAAATAATGTTAGTACAGAATTTTAAAACGTGGCTGATGTCACGCAAGATAAAGATGAACTTATAACTCGAGCTGATGTACAACAAAGGAACACCTTTATCCTATAACATAAGGATCACGACCGATGATAAGAAATGTATGGACAATAAAACCTATAGATACTCGAGAAGAAAATTTTAAAAACAGCTTTGAATTTAAAGAGAATTTGGACCTAAA